CGGGGCGCGGGCGCCCACCTTAACCCCCGCCGCGCCGGGCCGAGGCAGCACACCAGCCGGGGCCAGGAGTTTAACCATTTCCCCCCTTGAACAGCTGGCAGTTCCAAATGAAGAAGAACGGCAAAGTTACCAGGCAGTCTTCATAAGCCCGAACATTTAAATCAGGGTCACGAACTAATTAAGGTGGAGAAGGCCCTGCAGCCAGCTTACCTGCACCTTTAAAGTGTCAGATGAATTCCATTAGCATTTGGAGTCAATTCAGAGTGTTGGGATGTTTTAGGAAAATCTCATTTTTATTGAATTCCACAGCCCCCCACCAAAGCTTCTTTAAAACCCCAGAGAATCAACACCACCATTCTAAATAGAGATCTTCCACATGAGACAGATGCAAAATCACAGAAACCTCTCAGTGTGCGAAACCGGCAAAATCACATCAAAATGTTGGTCAAGTCCCCACACGGACTTACATTCTTTATTCTTGTTTTGCTGACATTAAAAGATGCTAGCCCTGCAAAAGTGATCCCTGGGATGGACGCCTGGGAGCCCTCCCGTTTCTGACACAGCAGACGCCCCAGTTTCCTGGGCTTCACACTTGCACAGCTGATGCCGTCTTTGGGAAGTCTGTTTCCCAGAGAACCCAGGGAAAGGCTGGGTTTGCTGGTTGCCATCCTGCCGCCCCCTGCCTGTGCTGCTTCCTCTGTGCACCCCTATCCCCTAAACTCCGCTCTGATGCAAGCAGTGACCATTCCTTCCTGGGCCAGGAACCAGGGAAGAGCAGCCCACCCCCCACAGAGCACAGAGGTGGTGAAGCTCACACTCTCTCCTCCCAGGGATTTTCCACCCTGAGTTCCCAGCACTGACCTAAATTCTCCCGGGGGATACAGAGGAGGCCAGTGTGGCTTTGTCTGTCTTCCCATAGACTTTCTATCAAATTCAACCAGGAAGCTATTTCTGTCCAACAACTGTTAAAGAAAAATTCTTCCCCAAGGCCACCTGGCACTAAAGTAACTGAACCATGATCCCTGGAAGACTGAACCATTAAACTGAATCATCTTAAGGCCCTGGTGCCCAAAAAGTGCTTGCACCTTGTGACTAGTGCCAATCAGGAGCATGCAGATAGTGCCTTTGAGACAAGAGGCTCTTCCCCCCACTGGACCCCCCTCCTCCTGGCTGCTTTAGAGAGGTGAGGCACAGGGAGGCTTTAGAGAGGCATAGGCGGCTTGCCCTTCATGTGAACGGCTGACCAGCAAACCAACCTTGTGCTCAGTCATGGAGAGTTGAGCAATTTGACCCTGAAGATCTGGGAATACTTGGGTTAATCCATCATTAGCCCAATATTTTTCTCGTCTACTTTGGTGACTTTTCCTGATATTAAATTCTCGAAAAAAAAACCCATCTGCTACTTTTAGCCACTGGGGACCATTTGATATATAGCATCACACATATCAGTTGTCAATTTATGACTTCAACAAATAACTTCACTCTCAAAAAAAAGAACAAATCTATGAGGAGCTGAAGAGTTTTTGTTTATATTTTTGAAAGGGTAGGAGAATTAACGTATTTTAGTGCCAGTCCTTTTTTTCAAGATTCTATGTTATTTCCATTTTCCAATGAGAAATTGTGGAAGTAGGAAACTGAGTCATTTCATCAAGTTAAGATGATATATAACAGCAGACATAAGCAGTGAGATTTTTTTTCAGTAGTTGAGTTTGGGGTTCTTCTCCCAAAGATAAGAAGTCACTTCTAGTAATCCATCATTTCAATCATCCTTCACACTCCCCTGCTGGAGATTCCTTTTTTTATTACCCTTTTCAACAAAGTATTTAATTTTATTTATTATGGTGATGATTTTTAAAATTTGCTGAAGGGCACATGCGCCCACCAGAGACAGAGAGAGAGGGAAAGTGATAAAGCAAGCCACCAGGTCTGGGACGCGAACCGTGGTTAGCCATGTGAGAGTCCAACACCATGCCATCTGCTGGCCCCAGGAGCTCCTCTTCTTAAACACACCATCCCGAGTAGAGACAAATGCTAAGCCTGGGAAAGGGAAGGGACTGGCTCTCGGCTTCATAATCATTTTCCTGCAGGCCTGAGAATGGCAGGTGTGATTCCTTTCATGATAAATTCTAATCCTGCTCTTGCATCTAATTTCCAGGTAGGTACAAATGAGCATCAGTTTGTGCATCTAGGAATGTGGATAATGACAACAACAGGCCTTCCCAAGGGGCTTACGAACATGATTAACTCTACAGGAAAAGACTTAGAAATCCATTTAGGATGGAAGATGCTTTATTAATACATTCTTGCTGCCACTGCTTCATTATTGTGGTGGGGCAGAAAATCATTCTTCATACAGACTCTTTAAGATGCTCAGTTTATGCTGGTCTGCAGGCAGTTCATCTGAGATAGTCAAAGCGGCTTTGTCTCCGGGCGTGAAGGGAGATTATGAGCGGCCATACCCCAGCAACTGCCAGCAGAAACCCCAGCAGTACTCGGGGCACTGCCAGAGTGGACCAAAAAAAAAAAAGCCATTCCCAACCTCACACCAGTCTGTGGCCCAGGGATCCCAACTCCATTGTGAAATGGAAGTTTGGAGAATAGTGAAAGGGCAGCGATGCCCGCACAATTAGCAAGACGGGATCTGTGTCATTCAAACCTGCTATCGAAGTGCTTTGAAAAGATGAAGATCAAAATCACATGTCAACTCCCTTCCCATCCCCTAATCCCTAAATATAACCAGCACTTAGTAGCTTATCTTATATCCTGTCTCTTGCTTCATAAAAACGGCTGGATTTATTTTATTTTTCTCAGCATATCCGAGTTAATGAAAAAGGGATGACAGTCAAAGCGATTTCATTATTTGTGTTCTTTATTGGGACAACTTCCTTTCTGCCTCCTGGAAAGCAGATTTCTAAGGAGCGCCACCTCCGCCCCCTTCCCCCATCCCCTCGCCTTCCTCCCTTCCGTCTTGCATACACATATACTGTACACATAAATCAACTTGTCACAGCTTGTCTCTGTGCTGACAGCTGTAATTGCTTCAGGTTATAAAAATATCTATAGGACAATACCTTTCAAGCTCACAGACACACGCACACCCCAGACACACACACTCATGCACACACACAAATGCACACACACTACCGGCGCAAAAGAAAACAATCATATTCCCTTTCATAATCCAGGGACTGCAAAGAGGAGGTGTGTGGAGCCATGCAGACTCTGGAGACCTGGCAGACAGGTGGGGAAACAAGAGTAGCCTGGAGACTTCTGGCAGCCTCGGCATCTCCACCCTGAACAGCACTGGGACAGGAAGAGTCCGCATAGGAAGGGAAATCGCCATTGTTTCTGTTTCTCTCTGTTACCTACAGCAAGGCAGGGGTAGCTAAAGAACTGTTACTCTCACACGCCAGAGACCCAAAGAGAAGCACTAGCTTCGGAAATGCCAGTGCTGCTTCTCCTTTTCTAAAAAGGCTAAAGGCTCCCCTCTCCTGGTGGAGATTTCAAATAGGAGCACAGGCGAGATGAGAAATGCAGGGCAGTTAGAGAGTGGCGCGACA